GACCATACATGTGGGGAAATATTTTGTACTATTTGTAAAAAGCATCAGCCACATGGACATTTATGCCATATTCAGAAGGATTCAGGAAAACCCAAAACGGAGGAGCTTTTATACATTTTCTACGATGTTGAAACTATGCAGGAAAAGCAGTTGGAAGATGGGAGTTTTGAGCACCAGCCAAACCTGTTAGTTTTCAAGCAGCGTTGCTCGGAATGCCTAAATAAAAATATCGACATATGCAGTAGTTGTGGTGTTCGTCTGCAAATTCTAAAAGGCCAGAGATGTGTAAGTGGTTTTATGTTTCACCTTCTACAAATTAGGAAAATTTTCAAGGCTGTTATAGTTCTTGCACATAACGGTCAAGCATTTGACCATCAATTCGTCCTGAATCATATTCTTACGGAAACTGATTTATCTCCGGAACTTATAATGCGAGGATCTAAAATAATAATGTTACAGATAGAAAACGTGAAATTTTTAGACTCTTTAAATTACTTTCCAATGAAATTGGCCGCGCTACCAAAGGCTTTCGGGCTAGAGGACAATTTTAAGAAGGGGTACTTTCCGCATTATTTCAACACATCGGCGAATCAAGACTATGTTGGAGAGATACCTGCCATCGAATACTATGGTCTCGACTCATTAAAAGAAGAAGATCGGGAAAAACTTTTAATCTGGCACGAAGCTCAAAGAAATAAAATTTTTAATTTTCAATTAGAATTTATCGATTATTGCATTTCAGACGTCAATATTCTAACTGAAGCCTGCCTTAAATTCAGGGAGCAAATGATGACCACGACCAATGTTTGCCCTTTTACGGGGGCCGTCACAATAGCTTCGGCCTGCAATAAAGTTTTTCGGAGAAACTTTCTCAAGCCAGGCACAATTGGAATCATACCCAAGGGGGGCTATAGGTTTCGCGATAAACAGTCTGATATAGCTCTGAAATGGTTGATTTGGGAAGAAAATCAGAGAGCCATTTCCATGCAGCACGCCGCTAAAGGACTAGAGGCAGTTTTACTCGGCCGAAAAGTGGATGGTTTTTGCGAAGACACGAACCAAGTATTTGAATTTCACGGATGCTATTATCACGGCTGCCCGAAATGCTATAAAGCAAATAGAAATGCTCCTCTACAGGAGGATCCGACATCGACCCTGGAAAACCGCTACGAATCTACAATGACGAAAACGAGCAGACTTAAGGGTCCATCAGGTGGCTTCGAGGTTGTAGAAAAATGGGAATGTGATTTTAGAAGAGAAATGAAATTGAACCCTGAAATTGAGCTTTTCACAAAAGATCATCCGCTGCTCTCAACGACTACGACGCCACTTAATCCACGGGATGCATTTTATGGGGGCAGGACTGGAAACTGTACAACGTATTACAAAGCTAAGGATGGCGAAAAAATCAAATACTTGGACGTTTGCTCTCTGTACCCTTGGGTTTGCAAGTACGGAAAATTTCCTATTGGCCACCCGGATGTTTTCGCGGGGAGAGACTGCACGGAATTGAACTTGCAGGAATCAGAAGGATTAATCAAAGCCAAAATTTTACCCCCGCAGAATTTGTACCATCCGGTGCTCCCGCGAAAGATGAACAACAAACTGCTGTTTGTTCTATGTGATAAATGTGGGGAAACTATGAACAAAGAAGAAGAATGTGTCCATACGGAAAAAGACCGTGCGATAACAGGGACTTGGGTTATTGACGAGGTTTTGAAAGCTCTGGAAAAAGGCTATAAAATATTGGAGATTTTCGAAATTTGGCGCTATAAGGTGGTACAATTTTGTCGGGAGACGAACACGGCCGGCTTATTCACAGACATGATGAATACATTTATTAAAATAAAGCCGGAGGCATCGGGATGGCCTAGAAATTGCTCGAGTCTAGAAGAAAAGCCCCCTCAGGAGGCAGGAGTGGGGTTGGTTTGTACCGCCGGGACATACTACTCAGGTTGTCCAGAAGATCCTCAGGAACCGACTGGAGTCCTTCATCGAGATATTCTTGAGCCGACTCGTCGAAAAATATTGCGTCGAACTGCGAGACCGAATCCATTTTTTTTTTTCTAGTCGCGTGAAATAAAAAAAAAACGTCTACGAAGATGTGTTCTTCACAATTGATTTAATGTCTGCAAGAATTGTGTTCTTTCGGAAATAAATTTTTCCCACCAGACACCCCCGATTTGAGGGTTGAATTTATCGTTCTCTCGAAAGCAAGGCCGCTCCATCTCAGGGCCAAAATATTTTTTCAACCAGGTAGAGACAGGTAGGACAGGTGTAAGCCCTTTTTCACATTCCATTCGCGTTGGGAAAAACAAACAAACATTTCAAACAAAAACATAGGGGTTCTCAAAATTTTGAATAAAAATCCCCAGTCCCCAGTTATTATGTATAATAATATTTCAACAAAGACTCCAGAAGCTCTTGTAAGCTCTCAGCTCTCGCTGCATATTGAGGTTCACTAAATTCCTCTAGAACCACTCTCCTAGCAATGTTTTTGCATCTCTGCAAAATTGTTGATCGGGGCGCAGCTCCAAACATTTGTGCTTCATAATAATTTCGCGCAATTTGCACCACTTGTTTTACAACCGGATTCACGCCCATATTACAAAAACCTGATTGAATAATTTCATCACTACGCGTATCACATAGCACGCAAAGACGTTTTTTATTTATGGAATATGGTTTAACGATAGCCGTTGGTTTCATGTTGATAGCGTGTTGTCACGATGGTGGTTGAATGAAATTATACTACTGTGAGACCCCAAATTCGCTGGCTACTCCAATACCCATGGCCTCAGCTGTTAAATTTACTTTCTCATTTTTCGTAGAATCTGCATGATTTCGGTCATAAGTCTTCAGAATAGTCTCCTTTTCAGACACTGAGAAATTTCTGCTCACCCGCTTTTTTGACGGAGATAGGTAAATATCCAGCGTTAGGATCCATGGAATCAAAAAAAATAATTGAAATCGAAAAATTGGGTAATCATAGACGCCTGAATTCGTATGCTCTGTCACATCTGCTGGTTTCATTCCTATGGTACGATGAATAGAGTGGTTATAGCTTTTCGTAAATTTTGGTAGGAGTTCTAACCATTCTAACCACTTATATGTACCTCTTGCATAAAATTCCTTATAAAAACGATTTTGTTTGTTCTGATAACTCGCTCCACAATTGCTGCCTTTTTTGTGCTATATAATAATAATAATAATAATACATCGTCTTTTTTTGGTAATCACATTAATAAATATAATAATATATTTGTGGCTGCTGAAATCTTTGCATATCACAATATCTTCAATGAGTGGAAGGTTCATATTGCTTGTACCATGGTTGTCCCTTAGCTTGTTTTTAGCTTGTTCGCTGATGTTTTCTTCAACTGCTTTGAAGGGTTTAGATGAATATAATTCTTCGGCTGTGTGTAATGGAGCACTTTTTGATTTTGGAACTTTCCAAGTACATTCCTTATCTGTCACAGATATATTGTAGTGTCTCCAAAACGTGCTAGTGCTACTATGTGGTATAGTTGATCTATTCTAAATTGAACCACTTTATCTTCAAGCTATATATGGGGGACGATCAAATATTAGGCACCTTTGGCGTGAATAAATACTCAAAAAACCTATATAAATGTTTTGAATATTCCCTACTAGAAACTACAATCGGCAAAATGAAATACTGGTTGTCGGAACGAAATTTCGAAAAAATTTCTTCATGTTTATTTGCCTGGGCGATGCGACGTGACGCGACGGCGCGGCGTCGCTGGTGTAATTTCACAGTAGTTTTTTTTTTTTTGTTAGAGGCGGAGGCAGGTTTATAGATGTGTATATTTTTATGAAATAATTGTTTAAATTTATTTTAAAATATCTCCTAAACGGCACTGGGGCATGTGTATTCCAAAATATCTCAAATAAAAAATAAATATAAATTAAATTTCACGTAGAATAATATCTAAATTATATTGATTTATTATTTATTATGAAACATTTTGGGAAACCTCACCGCCTATGCTTCATAAAGAAAACGCTGACTATTAATGGAGATTTATTTTTTGTGGTGGTTCAATTGAGAATAGATAAACTATAACACTTTATTCCACAAGGACACATACATTTTGCTGCTTCAATTTCTCCTGATTTGTTCAGGTTTATCTGGTTTTTTTTTTTGATATTTGAAAATGTTTACATATTTATTTAAAAACAAAGCTGTCCACATAAGAACTCTGAAACACAGCCAAAACTGAAATGAAATCTCTTATGGCCGAAAACCATTTGTTTGGAAAGATTGGACAAGCTCCACCCCTTTGTGACGTCAGGACTTATGTAGGTGGCCTATTGTAGGGCATATCGGCAAATAGGCTCAATTGATATTTATTACGATAGTTTTAATGATTTGGCACCTCTACGAGAACTAGCAAATTATCTGAAAAAAAATAATGCGAAATGCTGTCAAGTATCTGTACTATAAATATGAGCGCCGACAAACATTTGGAACAGTTTAGTGCGGACATTTGTGCTTGAAGTTTCTAGTAGAAGAGTACCAGAAATGTACTGAAAAACAATTAGAACAAATACCTGAAGAAGTTTTACTTGTATGTGCTCCAGAAGAACTTGACGCACTTGGGTGGCGCAGTGCATTTCAAAGATAAATGTTCAAACAGCTGGCATCTGTGGCACTGGGTACAACTAGCCCTCGTTTTTTGCGACTCGACCATAATAGCCATTAATTCAATGTACTTGATGTTAAATATATTTTTTTGAGTTTTGGGAAAAAAAACGAGGACCAATGTCATGGGGTCGCCGCTTTTATGCGAAAACGCCTGATTGATAGGGGACTGAAACCCTGTCTCACCAAGTCGTCTTGCACTCTCTCTTCAATCCAGGGTTCGGGAACTCCACGTATTACTATGTGGAGCTTCCTTTCCTCCAGAAAGGAGAAGGAGTGGTGGGGGATCTTGGTGTCTTGCATAGATGACGTCAGTTTGTGGTAAACGGATGGCTCGGAAGGCTGGATTTCGATGCCTTCCGGGACATTTTTTTGTATGGTGGTTTTTATGTTTTGTGTTTTAATGTAAAAGGCGACCTGATCGTATTTGGCCTTGTCCCCGAGAATCACAGGGGGAACACGGTTTCTATTAGTTTTTTGGCTTGAATAACCTCCTTGCTGCTAATTACCGCCTTGAAAAAATCAGGCTGCTGCTGCTGTTCAGCTGGTTGCTGCTCAGCGGGCAAGACAACCATCTCTGGTGGCTGCTGCTCTTTATGCGTCTTACTTTATTCATATGTCGGGGCCCAGGGTTGTTGTTGGCTTACGTTGAATTGTGGGACACGGACGGGAGTTGTGGTCCGGCGTCTCCGGTAGCGATTTGGCGATTCAAAGACCACTGTCTATATTTCCGGGGCCGGTCGGACCCAAAAGGTGGGTCCTGGACTTTGTCTTCTTATTAGGGCAACAGGGGCGGGCGTAGTACTTCTCCTAGCGACAGGCGATGCCGGAGTCGGGGGTGGCGGCCGTGGAACTAATTCCATCGGCTCCTCATAGTCGTGGTGCGGGCTTCCAACCGGTGGCGCAGGGGCGGCTTGGTCAGCGGCTCTTGGTGGTCGGGGCTCCGGAGGTTGATATATGGGTGCCCCTTGGCACACTGCACACACACAAAATTCACCCAAATTAGATCCTTGGGTTACGTGCCGCTCGATGTCCAGCAGCTCCAGCCACATGAGGACAAGGGCTCTGGGTTGGAAATAGTGAGGGTGCACCGGCCCCTCACCTCCCAAATTAAGGTACACTTGTATACAAATTTCGCGAGCCGTATCCACGAGACGCAGTTGCTCTTCAGGATCCTTGACCAACTGAAGATACTTGAAGAAAACGGCCATTGTTTATTTCTCGCACTTGTTACACGGTCGAGATATTCTCGTGGACTTCTCTCCAGAGACTGCTCACTGTCCATACGTTGCTTTGAGTTTCTCGGAGACTAGGTAATTCGTATAAATCCCATGTTCGATATTCTATCTGTATTTTTGCGTAATTGCCGCCTTTGTTGATTCGTGTCAAGATTCTGAGCTTTTGTTTATCTTCTGGAATTATATGTTTGTGGTTTTTCAATGTAATTTGGTGTAGGGAAAATTGATATGAATAGTGAGTTAGAAAATGAAGAAGAAGAAGAAGAAGAAGAAATCTTTGGGAACTTGTATGGACTTAAGCTGATAATTTTAATTTGGAGTAGGGAAAATTGATTCAGAAAAACAATAGGTCCAGGAAAAAATCTAAAAATGAGAAAAAATTAATTTTAATAATTTGTTGTACTGTACGAGAAAGAATAACGTCCACTCCATACTTCAAATTGAAAAAAAAAAAATGTCAAAGAATAGAAGAGCTTTTGGCTAATTATGCGCGAGAAAGCACGTATTGAGTAACGCCTCACTCTTTCCAATGTTCAATTCAGCGTGTCTGATTATTGTTGAATTTCCAATTTGAACTAGGTATGAACTATGTATATTAATTGTATGCTAATTATGCAGTGATGAAAGAATAGTTTTGAAAAATCAAGCTCAACTCGTCCAAACTTAACTCCCCCTCCTCCTTCTCCATCACAGACTCCACTGCTATCTCGTATGCTTCAGAATAGGGCTGCTCCGGTTGTTGATTCACCGGATCCGGTTGGAAAAAATCGGGGGAAACTGATCCAGTGGACGCAGTCCCCACCGACTCTATATCCTGATCCAACTGATGGTCCAGGCTGTTCACGATATCGGTTGCATAAGCCAATTCCGATGCCCTGGACGAGACATCCTCATCAGCCGGAGCAGCGGCGGCGGCAGCAGCAGCAGCACGGGTACCGGCATGAAGCCTATCATCTATTTGTAGGTAGATGTTCTGTGAATTTGATCAAGAAAAATAGGTTTATTCCAAACTTATAAAAAAAAAAAATCGGTTGAAAAACTTACAATAGGCTATGCCATGTCTAATTGCCCACTGCTATGTCCGCAATGTTGAGCCTGTAGAGAAAAAATATATTTACGAAGGCTTGAAATTATTTCGAAAAAGTCACTTACATTGTACTCCAAATCCCCCATATACCTCAAGAGGCGCCCCCGCTCTCTTAGGACTATCGCCCCCGTGAAGGGCCCGCAACACCATCGACAAAGTCGATTGACGGCATAACAGGCCCCGCAAATGGCCCGCCCACAGGGACAACACAAAAATCTTTCTATTTGTGTGAAGCAGAGGTAACAGTATATTATCATAAGGAACCGTCAAATGGGGTTAAGTGAATCAAAAAAAATGTTTTTTTATCGATTTCTGCAAAAGTATGGAAACGAAAAATATACAAAAAATAATGTAGGTTTTGGCACCCATTCCGAGTTGTTTGAGCAAAAATTTAGAATTTTTTCAGCATGAGAACCCCTCCATTTTTTTTGGTAAAATGTGATTCACTTTACCCATGACTATGGGGTAAAATGAATCAGGCCTTAAAATGCATCAAAACCCACTTTAAAATACCTAGAGGTAAAGTGAACCAATTAAAAAAAAAAAAAAAAAAAAAAAAAAAATCAAGGGAAAATTGAAAGAAAAAACCGTTGAAAAGTAACAAAATCTCTATTCTATATCACGTTATCGTCACAGTATCGAAAACCTTATGTACAAAAATAAACTCAACTTTAATTCTAAATCACAATACCATCACAGAGCGGTAAAAACTTATAAAACATAAAAAAATAAAGAGTATGGCACATTCTCTGAGTGAAAAACTTACTAATAACAAACTTATACTAAAGGAGGGAAATTATTCTAAATTTTTCAATTCATCGCTGCCAATGTTAAAAGAAAACTTTCCCCTTTTAACTGAGTTATTACGAACTTTTCTTATTATTTGGTCCCGGGTTATTACACAAAGATCCTCAATTTCCGGATAAACGAAATAGCCCTTCTCAGCAGTTCCCTTTTTTCTCATGGCGCTTATTGTTAATTCTTCACCGTAATTTTCTATCTTCCCAACAAAAAGTCTATCTCGCTTCTTAGTGGGGAATTTTGCTATGATGAAATCGCCAACATTAAGTTCTATGGATGGTTCTGGTTCAGCAGCTTTTGATGTTGTAGGTATTGGCGACATTGGAGTATTTTCATCGAGGTCGCTTTGAATATTTTCCCAGTCGCTTAGGGAAAATTCTTCATCTAGTTCTAAATCTTCCTCCAAATCGAACTCTAACTCTTCAGATGTTTCCTGGTCGTCCTTTTCATAATTTTTTTTTTTCGAAGGTCTTTTTTTGGGAATTTTGTCTGTTAAATTGGCTAACAAATCATTGCTTGAGACACTCTTTCCCGCTTCAATATTAATTTTTTTACCCCTTCTTGTCGCTTGATTGGGCGTGGTTTTCAAATTGTCCAGGTGGTTTACAATTGTTTGAGACCATGCACGGTCATCATTTTCTGCATTGTTATTCTCTACGTTCCTTGGAATTTTATTTAAAACTTTGTTAGGATTCAGAGGCACAATTCCGCAAGCGTTAAAACCTGCAATCGAATTTTGTTGAGATCTTATGCCAATTTTTTCGACAGCCTCCTTAAGCAGCCTTGGGAACTCTGTTTTTGGAATCACTCCTCGGTGTTTTAGTTTCCACTTTTCCAAAGTTGCTCTCCAGGCGATTTTTAGAGGCCTGAAGTAAGCAACATCGAGTGGCTGAAGAAGGTGTGTTGAGTTGGGGGGGAGAAGGACAAATCTAATGCCGTTATTCTCACATTCTTGAATAACGTTCATTGTGATGTGACTATTTAAATTATCCCCTATTAAAACTTTTGGTCCAGCTAATTTCCTGAAATAAGGGATAACAATTGTTTTAAACCAGTCTTCGAATAATTCTGAGTCGAACCATCCACTCATGCTTCGGTTGTATCTAGCTCCCTCAATTCCCCCTTCTGTCCATCCTTCATAAGAATGTTTTGCCTTGTATACTACGTAGGGAGGAAGTAATGTTCCGTCTGCAGCAATGGCAAACATGACAGTTGTACTTGTTTTTGAGGAGTCGATTAACCTATGAGCATGCTTGGCACCTCTTCTGGTTATCACTTTAACTGACCCTGGATCGTCCACAAAATTTGTCTCATCATAGTTTATGATATTTTGGGCCGGAACGTCTGTCAATGTGACTCGCAAATTTTCGAAGTATTCTTGAATGACTCCATAAGTTAATGCTCCCCTAACACGCTTTGTGTTTTCGGCCAATTTAACAGTTAGGTCTTTATGTCTGTTCATAAAACTCTTGAACCATTCCATCCCCGGCATGTTATTTTTGAATCTTGGTTCTACCGTTCCAAGTCTATTAAAATATTGTTGTACAATTGTCCGGACGTCCGTACTTTTTAAAGGAAATCCCCACGTAGCACAAATTTGAAGTGTTTCTTTCAGCCTAAGCTCCTGAGTGTCACTAAGTGCAGGCTGCCGACCATACTTCAAGCCATGGGTTCCATGATACCGTCTTTGTATTGTGCTATAAGGCACAGCATACTGTTCTGAAGCTTGTCTCATGGACACATCACCTCGACGAACCGCTTCCACTGCTCGGCGAACATATTCCTTGTTGTAATTGCATTTTCCTCGTGGACCTAACTTTTTCACATATTTTCTTGGCATGCTGTAAATAAATTTAAAATAAAAATAATAAATTTAAAAGAAATTAGTAAAAATCATAGCAAAACACTATAAAAATAACCAATCATAAAATATAACCTAATTTTTACATAAAAATCAAATGATTCATTTTACCCAGTAAACTCACCATTTTGAAATAAAAAAAATGCCGGAGCTTAACCAAAAACATTTTGATCAAAACTATTGTAGATTTGTGTTCATTAATAACTAAAGAACATATTTATTGCATCTAAGTTGATAGAATTTCAAAATGGGAGCTTCTACAAGCAATCGTTTCCAACATTTCAAAAAATTAATAAAATTCGTTAACCACTAAAACGTATTCTTGGTACTTACGTGTTTTTTTAAGTGCAGCGCACCACTCCTACTACATTCACATACATACTGGCAAGGCAACCACGACGCGAAAACGTTAACATTTTTTAACTGGAGACAACAGCCCCACCTTTTTTACGGAAATGTCCGAGTGATTCATTTTACCCCTAGTGGTTCATTTAACCTCATTTGACGGAACCTAAAATACAAGTATAATTTATTACTCTAACAACTTGTTATTTTTAGAAAAGTAGCATAAATTGGTACAAGTTAGGGTTGGGACGGTATGACAGGTAGACAGAGGAAAATAATAAAAACATCGCACTGGAGCACGGGATCAAACATGAATGCGGGATTTTCGAACTAATTCGCCGGAAATAGGACTATTTTTTGATAATTTTTCTAGTAAAATATAACAAAAGTAATTTAATTCAACACCACCATAATATTTATAAGGGTACTTTATCATAGAGAACTTGAAAATTACCCCGAAACATTAAAAATTTAACACTTTCGCAACCTTTGCAACGGAAAAAATAAATGCTTTAACTTACAAACAATCCGTCATTGAGCAACTAAATCTATTGACATTACTTATAAAGCAAAATATCTTGCACCCTAGCGTAATTACTCCTACGCACTTGAGACAAGAACTATTAAAAATCAAATTAATCTCAAATCTTGAATTCCCATTCGAAATAAGAAAAACTTGAAAACGCTTATGAGTATTTAGAAATATGTTCCTTATCAGTAATTTATTCGGATAAAATCTTAATTTATGCTATAAGAATTCTATTAGGTACAAAAAATGTATTTCCACTTTATAATCTTATACCTCTACCTATAAAACTAATAAACTCCTCAATCTATTCCTTTATAAACCCGTCCTTTTCTTACTTATTACTGAGTCAC